GTTGAAAAAACACATTTTTACCTCGACATCCAAAATGTTGAACAGCTTATCTGTTTGGGGTATAAAAGAATTTGGTACCATTATTTCCATGCTAACATTTGGAGCCATGCTATTGCCACTGTTGATAACCTGATAAAATAAGGAAAAAATTTTACATATTTTTCATAAGTACAGGTATCAATGAGCTTTTAGGTGACCCTATGTATTGCACACAACATTGGTGGAGGTTTGGAGTTGGCAGCTGCACAGCAAAGGGAGACAGAATATCCATAGTCAGAATTTTAAAAGTTTGTTAATAATTTCAAACTCTAGTCATTCCTAGCCCTCTCTTCTTGGTACTGTTTAGACCCAAAAGTTTAGGCTGATGGTTTACTGGAAAAACAGTCTTAAAGAAACATAAACAACATGTATTTTATGCTGGAATATGTATTTTAAAAACAATCAATTGGTCCTCATAACCATCCTATGAACCAACATTTTACTATACACCAGCTAAGAAAAATGCTAAGAGGTGTTACTCATATTCCCAGGATGAAAGTTAAAGAGTTAGAACCAAAACTCAGGTATTTTCAATCTTATGATGTTTTCACAAAATCACTCCCTGCTGAGAGAATAATTGAGCAGTAAGTGAATAAAAATGTATTTTTATTCAGGGTAATTATAATGTTAATACATTCAGAAAATCAAAAGAATATGTTATGGGATTTTAAAGAAAACACAAACGTCTTTAATAATACTTTTCAAAAAATGCATAAGGGGATGGTATTTCATTATTGTTGACAGATTGAGGACTGTAGATCCTTGAAAAAGGAGATTGGGTCAAAATATTGCCTATTGAGAGCTTAACTATGAAATCAATACAATAAGTCAGAAAAGAGACATGCCACAATACCTAAATGAAAAAGGGCGAGTAGACCTGCAGGCATCTCTTGAATGCATATGACATAGATGAAGAGAGTATCCCTAGATTTGAGACAGGTGGTAATTGCTAGGCCATGAAAGCACAGGGAAGTTACAGAAAGAAATGTTAGCAATGGGTAGCCAGCAGTGCTCAGTACCTTAGACAAGGTCTTCCTAATACCAGTAAATAATCCATCTAAGTTACAGTTCTACTTCATCTCTGTTTGCCTGACAACACTTAGGCCGCCAAGAACACTCACATACTCGGATGGACCCTGCAAGCCTATATACTGCAAGTTTCTCCAGTCTTAGCCACTCCATTGTACATTATTTAGAAAATACTTATTAACTATTAGTTGTAAATTAATAAATAGTCCTTATAGAGTCTAGCTTGGTTTCTGTTTTAGTTTATCAAAGCACAAAGCCTCACTGGGTTCCGATGAAAACATTTCTTGGGACTTCAAAGTGGAAGGCTAAATTTTTTCAACACTAGGAATATACTAGTGTAACAAAAACTTGCATATACATGGAATCAATAGGACATTCTTTTCCCACAGATCTGGGGCAGGGCCCAGGAATTTGCATTTTGGATAGGTACCCCAAGTGATTCTAATATACATTTTGAAAAGCACTGACTTACAAAATATAATAATATACCTAATCACATTCTACAGATCGTTATATCACTTTGGACAGTGCTTTTGGGTCAAAAAATATTTTTGTGGATATTATCTCTATCATTCACATCTGTGCTGTGATACAGCAAAAAATTTCAGTTTGACAGCAAAAATGTCTTAAGTTTAGCTGTAGCTGTCCACTAATACTTCCAGATGATAGTATTCTTTACTTTTTTTAAAAGGTTATTTTATAATTCATAAAGCACATGCCGCAGGCCATAAACCTATGGCTTGACAGGCTGACAAATTCGACCTTCAGTGGAGATGGGGGAGGTAAGAGCTTCCTTTACTTGGTAATGTTAGGACTTCTATAAAGTTTGAACCAAGAAGAGATTTCACTGATTTGCACCTTGCCCTACCCTAGTTTCTGTATGCATCTCTGTAGAATTCATCCCATCCTGTAACTCTGCCTATTTCAAGTGTTACCTCTTTTCCCACATGTTCTTTCCCACCTGTCCTGTGAGGAGATATGGGCTTGAGTACCA